TCTGAGGGGCTCCGCTATTAGCGAAAATATAGCGCGCTATACGGCATATAGCGAGCTACGAGGCAAAGGAAGAGTAAAAAGAAAAAACAAAATGTATTTCAAACCCCATGTGTACCTGCCCAACATTCATTGTTGGGCAGGTAGGAGAGTGGGGTGGATTCTCTTATATAAGCTATAGGAACCTTGTAGAAACTGATAAAAGAAAATATTAACAAGAAAGAAAAATAGAAAGTGACCTATATTTGTATGTATATTTGTAATTTATAACACAAGTAAATACTATACTATCCCTTTTGCACCTTTTTCCCTTTTTTTTTTGCTATCATTTCCATATAGGATAGAAGTACTTTGGATGCTTCTTCGAATTGTCCTTGAGGTATGATGCCTTCCTTTAACCAAGCTTGACAGCCGACCAAACGCTCCATCGTTTTGGGGAGCATACTACCTCGAGTCGGAGTACAAACGTCGGCAGCGGCCGAGAAAGTTCGCTCGCAAGCGCAGGAGGTGGCTGAGACCGAAAGGTAATCACGAGCAAGTTTGGCCAGTGTAGGGAAATGATGATGATTTGCCTGTTGATCGATCAAAGGTAAGACAAAGTAAGGAGTCAGTCTCAGATTCTATATACAATGAGAAAAGAAAAGAAGACCAACCTTCCACCACTCGAGTGGGGATTCGTCTTTCTTAATCCGAAATCGCCCACTCAAGTAGTCATCCAGCTCCGAGCGGGAATCGGATGAGTTGATTGGACTGTCAGTGGAGTCTCCAAAGACATCGTAGGCATCAGCCTCAACAGGATCATTGTGATCATCGGATGATGGTGTTGCTTCACGTGGTTCTGATTCTTCCATCAGATCGTGAAAGGCATTCTCAATCAACATTTTGGCAGAGCCGCTGTAAACCGGATAATGGAGAGAAAAGAACTTGTGTCGGTATCGGGGATTCAGAACAGTTGCTAAGACTATGGCATCGCTTTCAGCAGCCTCTTGTTGGTATTCGATAAGCCATTTGATCATCACATCGATGGCATTATCGATGGTCGGAAAAGATTGACAATCGAGTTGATGTTGTTGAAGGTCGGTGATGACTCGTTTGTATTCCGCTAGGAGGATGCAGCCTGTCGGGCCATTTCCCTCCACTCGAGATGTGGCTTCAACAAAGGTCTGTTTCAGTCAAGCAAATGGTTAGTAAGTACATGCTATTCCTGTTAGATTCAGATAAAGACAGACTCTCACCTTCAACACCTTGTTCACCAGTTCCACTGCGTGCCATTCTTTGGGTGAAATAGTGATGCCTTTGAAAAAACGAGCTTGACGATCGGCAGCAATCATTGTGTTGATTACCTGTGACACACTGATGAGAAAATGCACAAGGAAGATAGAATAAACGATTTGCTCACCTCTTGAGCCTCGCAGGCAATCGTGCGACTTTCGTAATGAGAGTTCCATCGAGTCTTGCATGGTCTCTTAACCATGCGACCTGTGTAACCCATACGGGTGGCACGGGTCTTGAAGTCGTTCCGACGAGCAGCGCGGCTGGCAATCTGGCCAGAGACTGCGTCCACCTAAGTGAAAGATGTAAACCAATCAGTTTTGCCTAGCTGAGTGAAAAGACGTGAGAAAAAAGACATAAGAGGACCAAACGGTATGGGACATACCTTTTGAAGAGCCCCTGCAACCAAATCACCGAAAACACCGTCTTCGTCTGGATTGTCTTCCTCATCATCCTCGTCATCATCAATGCCATCAGGCTCGTCGGGTAAACCCGAGACACTCTCTTCGTCCGATTCCAAGCCGTACTCGACCGGATCCTCCCCGTCGTTCACCTCAAGCCCAGGCGTTGGGAAAGGTACTCGAGGAGTCGAATTCTTCAATTGGCGGCCTACCTTTTGACCGAGGGCCTTAAGACCATGCCCAACAACCAAGTTAAGCTTATGGGCAAAGCATCGGACGTGATGAGTCGAATGATCCCATGACACTGGATCTTGAGCGTTCAAAAACATTGCTTGAAGCTCAGATGCCATGGTCATGTTATTGCCTCCACTGTCTGTGGTCTGGGCTAGCAAGTAAGAAACAAAAAGAACCAGAAGAATTAAAAAAAAGAAAAAAGTCGAAACTAAGTAAAAGAAATTAGAAAAGGGAAGGTATTGGGACTCATCTTTTTATGAAGCCCATGCCTAATCAAGAACTTGCCAATAGGACGTGCTAGAAGCACTCCAAAGTGCCGCCAAGCGACCATCTTCAGGGTGAGATGAGTCGATTGGTACTCCCAATTTTTATCTACATAGTTTGCTGTTGCTCCCACAAAGGCATATCGATTGCCCTTTGTGGTCCAAACGTCGTGTACGAGGCAGAAACGACCCTCGTTTTCCTATGTAAAAAAGAAAGATCAAAAATGAAGACCAAAATAGAAATCAATTTTAGTTAAGTCCATGATTTGAATTAAACAGATGTCACTTACTTTTAACTTGTCAATGGCCTGTGCATGCAAGGTCGAGAAGAGATGAACCAATTGCTGTGAAGCCCAGGTAGTTGATCGAACGGTTGCACCTCGGTTTGCGGTGTGGAAGGCTGCACGAAGGGCAGGGTCTTCAAAACGTGCCCAAGGTAAGGCGTGTCGGACGATCCATAGAACCAGGATCAAGTTTAAGAGGTCTACACTGAATGTCGGTCCTTTGACGAAACAATCCAACGTTCCTTGGGATTCTTTGGCCTCCTTCTCGATAGTTTCAAGATAGGTGAGGGGCAGTTCGAAACCTGCGGCAATAGCATCAGCTCGCTTGGTGCAAACCGGGCGGAATTCATTTCCATCTCGATGACCCCAAAGGGCGTAATACGAGCTGGGTTGCTTGAGATACTTGTTGTGACAGAATCTACACTGGTATGAGCGGCCCTATATAAGAAGAAAGGAAGAAAAAAGAGAAGAATGTATGAGAAAGATGTGAAAAAACACTTACCTTAGGAGGAAAAAAGTACTGAAGGAGCTTGTTTACACCAAGTGACCGAGTCTCGTTATATCCAGGTTCAATGGTCCCAACGATCTCGACATCGGAATCCTGAGACAGATCGGCACCTTCAGGTACCTCCAAGGGCTAGAATATAAAGGTCAGAACAAAGAGAAGGGTTCCGATTAAGCGGTGAAAGTACTTACATCGACATTTGCTCGTTTCGATGGTCGAGGTGATCGTGGGCTACCTGTCGATCCTTGTGACGGAGATCGAACGTGTTTGCTAGTCGACGAAACAGTCTAGGAAAACCAAGAATTAACTCGGCGATGATATAGAACATGATATCATAAAGCTTACCTTTCCTGGTCGGATTGCTTTGGCTTTTTTGGCTGGAGCTTGCTTGCTATTCTTGAGAGTAGAAGCCAGGGGACAAGGAGAAGCTTGGCGATGAGCAAGCAATTCGGGTAGATCTTCATCAGATGAAGTCGAAATGATGACAGCTGAACGTGAGTCCTTGGGAGGAACCACAAATCCAGGCCGAGGACGAGACGGACTTGGTGGTCGAAGTGTTCGATTGTTTGGACCCTTGCTGGGAACTTGAAGGGTAGTTTGGTTAGTAGTAGAGCTTTGTGATGTGGATTTTGAAAGTGGCATTCTTAGATATTGGATGAAGTTGAGAAATGTTAATGGTCAGCTTTAAAAGTTGATGAAGGTAGATAGGAAGCGATGGAAAAGGAAGGCACCCACCTGAAATAGAAGAGAAAACCTATTACCGCAAACCACAGGCTGGCCGTGGTTGAAATTGAAGGTGCACAAGCAAGGCCAGAGGCTAGTCCAGGTTGCCATCGTTCGAAATGATTGTGTTTCATCTGATCGTGGAGTATGTTGTGGCGTAAAGTGGAGGAGATGATGGTGCTTGGATGGAAGATTTCGACTGGGCACCGCAACCCTGTACCCATACAGATATCTCCGCTATATAGCGGAGATATACCCCTGGGGCCGGGTTGCGGTGCGATTTCTACGCTATGGAAAAACCCGGCCCTGGAAGGCGGTGCGCGTGCTCCGCTATGAATGGCGGGGGGCGTGGCGGACCGGAAAATCGCTCCGCTTTCGCTCCGCAACCGCCATTTATGGCGCAGCGATTCGGGTATTGATACCTAGACGAACTCCAAAGCAAAATCATGGAACAATTTTATAAACATGTATCAATCAAGACACTTTCAACTGAGCTACGCGACAGATTGTGTTGGACACAAAATAAAGCACGTACCGTTCACCCAAATCAAAGTTTGGCCGCCCAAGGGGCTTATATGGCAAGGGTACTGGACATTGACCCCCGTTGCCTTGTCTTCGCTGGTGAGCCAATGCGTTCTTCATGGTTTGTTTTGCTGTGTACTGATTCATCGATCGGCTTGGACCCCTAGATGAAACCGCAATTGCGAAACAGTATATGTATTGCGACTACGCATGTGCACCCATTGGCGAGCATACCCCCCGACTTGCCAGGCCAACTCAATCAGGCCGTTGGCTGGCGTTACCGGCTATTTCCTTGGATGGCCTATTGGCAATCACCATTAAGCGCGGTGGGTATTCTCGCATTGATTTCAAAGCTTTTTTGGAAGACCACTTGGTGAGCTGGACCCATGGATTTGATGGAATGATGTTTTGATTGCTAATGAACATGTAATTTACATAGTCACCGGCCATGAATCCATGGCCGGCTCGGAACTCTGTGCTTGTTCTAGATAACGCCCCAATTCATCATGGTGGCTCGGTGGCTGATTTATGTGAAGCTCGTGGTGTAAGGTTGATATATTTACCCGCGTATAGCCCGGACCTCAATCCAATTGAGAAGGGTTTCTCACCGGTGAAAGCGAACCTCCAAAGGACCCAGGGACTTCGAGGGGCCATTGATGCTGATGGGGAGCGGGCTGTGGTATGGTTTTCCATGATGGAAGTTTTCACAGAGGGTTTGTGCGACAAGCTTTTCAAAGGTAGCGGCTATATGTAGACCAGTTGTCATTGATTTGTACCCTATGCCTCATTTTCTTTCCTGTCATCTTGCCACAGTGGTAGTTGAAATTAAGCAATCAAAAGTTTCGAATTCAACAGTGTGGCTTTGCTTAGTCACCTTGCCCGGTGCACCACATGTTTTTCTTTTGAAATCTATTGTATTGGCAAACCAAACCACATGAGATTCTCGAGATTTTGAGCGGCCACTTGAAAAGTTGGAGGGTAATGACCGTAAGACTCTCAAAGACAAAAACTCATCAAGTTCATACGGTGAACTTGTGTTTGCGACTGCTGTTTCACAGAAGGCTAGCAATACATGTTTGCAAGTATTCTTGCCTTTTTGGGGAGTCACCGGGCAGTTGGTAGCGCGGCAAATCTGGAACGCCAACATGGCCGAACTGGCATCTTTGATTCACATAACATAACCTAGCAATAATTTCAAATAAGGCCATTGAGACCAATTACAATTGGGTTACCCCCTAGGTAACATATTGAAAGATTTAAAAACGGTATTGAAAAAGGGAAAAGTTGCATGTATAAAAGAAAATACAAGCCAATCGCCAAAGAACCAATTTAAAAAACTCTTATTTTGGGAAGTGTTGAATCAAAAGGAGGTCAGATTGGAACAAACTTCAATTGGTGGAAGTGGAAGGTTGATTTTGAGAATCTGCCTTGATGAGGCGATTAGCTAACTTGAAGGTCATTCCATGCTCTGTTAAGACGTTGGCGGTCATCTGGACACTGGGGACCAGATCAGTCCAAGACTGGACCTGAGCCTTGCAGAGTATCGCTCAAGTGGTGACATTGTTACGGGAAACATCACATTCAAATAGGAAATTGTCCAAAAGAGTCGTGTGCGTAACCACAAATTCCACATCGGAGTCCGAAACGTGAGATTCTGACTTGAGAACTTCCTTGTCAGTCAACAGGGAGATCTATTTGCTCGAAGTCATACCAGCATCTGGACAAACATCACAAGATCATCAGTTTGATTATCATTCACCATACATGATAATCGAAAACCATAAACTCACCAGGTTCCTTCTTTACTTTCTTGTGGGAAGTTACCTTGCTGGAGGCGGAGGTCATCTTCAATTTGCGTTTGGAACCGGAAGGACTGATCGGCTCAGTCTTGATCTTCATTTCAACTGGAGGAGTGTTGGCAAAGAAGTTTCTTTGCTTTGAGGTAGTTTGTTTGGCTCTTGGGGTGGCCACAGGGTAGCGTTTATTGACTTGGTCTTCAACGTTCATATCCTTATGAACAACGACATTTTTGAACATCTCATGCTTGTATTCAACCGTGTTAGGAGAGATTCCGCGGGTTGTTAAGCCGTCGCGCTGGAGAGGATATTTGATGTCAGCTTAGGCTGGAAAAAACAGATGGAAGGGACAAGCTTACCACAGCTTTTGCCCATATGAACGCACATCAATGTGTAAATCGATAATAGAGGTTTGGGTCCCAAGGGGCTGTCAAGATAGCCCCATCTCCTCCAAGGGCTCACTCGAGGTGATCCTGGTAAATGGACGCTGCTTCAAGTTCGAGTTCCTTAGCCGCTTTGACAGCCTACATGAATGTTGAAATAAACAATTGGTTAGCAATAGATGTGGAAGGATACAAAGTCAACACTAAGCTTACCACAGTCTCTTCTTTAGCCACCACTGTTTCCTCCTTGGAAGCTGCGAGTTCTGCTTCAATCGCGTTGGGCCCAGCGGTGCCTTGGATGAAAGCCACCGCGCCGCTAGCCTATTAGCCACATGGTTCAGAAGAGCACATTAAAGCAATCTCATCAGTTAAAACACTTGAGAAGAAGTGGAACACCAAAACAATCTCACCTGGGCGTTTTTCTTTTCCTTAACTTGCGGTTTCTCCAGCACGATATGGATGACGCCTTTGGACAATTGACTCTTTCCCCAATTGTTGACAAACTCCTGATAACTTTTGAAATCAATTAATCTCGTTTTCTTGGACCCCACACTTGCATTCCAGTTCAACAACGGAGTCAACTCTCTATCAAGCACGACTTTCTTGATCCCAGTGAAGTAATGGTTGCACACATTGCCAACCAAGTCCTTCAACTCATTCAGCGACTTGCCATACATAAAAACTTTGAAATCCAACACCTGTCCATCCTTGAAGTCAGATGAATTGATGATGGCAAACTTAGGAGGTGGTGGTGGTTTTTTTTCCCGGCGGTTAATTTGGAAGGAGCCTGTTGTTTGGCCATTCCGGGCGTAACCTCAACCGTATTCTTTGTGTGAATTTTGAAAGTCACACCGATGATGAAAGATTGGCTCTCTTCCATCAAGCGACGGCTCTCCGTTCCTTGACGCCAGAGCCGCTTGAGCATTGGATGACGGGCTGGGGCGTCATCCCCATCCGCAATCAAATAGGCCGGATCAAACACTTCAAGAGATCCATATCAGTAATATGAAGAAGCGAGGCATTTTGAGTCATGTTACTTACCCTCCTCGGGATTCTCGCCCTTGTGGATCAAATTCTGAATCGGTTTGTAAGGCATAGCTGGCGAGAAACATAGAGAGGTCAGCATTTGATCAACCCAAATCATGATAGGATTACTGACTGTTAAGAGCTTTGATTCAATTTGATGATTCCAAGTCGAAGTTGGCAGTGATAGATTGATAAGCGCAGCTAAACAGATAGAAACGGGTGGGTTGAGTTGATATGATTATAATAAGCAAGTGAAAGGGAAAGGGTATATTGAAAGGAAGAATCAAATCACCGAGTCGAAAGGGCGTCCAAAAAATGGGATGAAAGAAGTCGAGGAGCAGGCGTATGAAATGACTTTTCGGTTGAGTAGCACTTCTTCAAAGGCTTCCAGGAAATGAAGGCGTAATCACAGTAACCCCTGCCATCTTGCCCGGCCGGCAAGATCATTCCAGTCCAGTGGGTGACAAGGTCTTTCTTCTCAAACGAGAGATGAGCAATTAGGAATCCTGCTCGAACAAGCAATGAGCAATAAGAACTTGTGTTCGCAAGATGGATGTGCAAGAGAATCACCAGTTCCTTACCCACTGCTAAGTCCAAAAGGGCCAAGAAATGGAAAGTCAGAAAACGAGTAAAATCTGGAGAACAAAAAAAATACCCATTATTTCTCACAACGGCTGTAATATTAACACGATGCCTTTGAAAACTTTATGAAGTTACACCGCGGGAATCATTAAGTGTGAAACCGGATTGAGCAAAGTCGCGGTGTCCGGGTCCGCGACTTTCTTCAATTGCGGATCTCGTTTGCCATAGGTTTGCTATAGGTTTGCTAGCTTGCATCAAGCTGCCCTCGAGTTGTCCGCCTGAGCTGCAGTACATGTTATGCATGTTTTTCCTTTCAATATCCTCAGACCACTCAAGATCAGGTATGAGTCATGAGCTTTATCATGTATATGCTACAAGAGTCTAGACATATGGTACCTCCATTAGTCCATACTACAGCCTGAGTGGATGACTATGTAGAGGGCAGCTCGAGACAAGCTGCAAACCTATGGAAACCCATGGCAAACGAGATCCGTGATTGAAGGAAGTAGCGGACCTGGACACCGCGACTTTTCTCAATCCGGTTTCACACTTAATGATTCCCGCGGTGTTATGTCAAAGTCCAAGGTTTGGTACTGTAGGTGAACTAGAGCATCGGGGGCGGGCTCGCCGCCCTTGAGGCCTGCAAGTATTCAAGCTGAGCTCTCAGATATTGGATATACCTATGTGGCACTCAGGGCATACGTCCAGACATCACGTCATTGCAGGCCAAAGAATGGTGCAAAGTAAAGTGAATCTCAGCAAGAGGTTGTCTGACGTTCACAGACATACTCACATACAGCCATTCCAATATTTCTTGTCGCTCACATTTTTGAAAAGAAAAAGTTTATGAGCTCAAAACCTAAGTTTTAACTGGTTAAAACCTGAAAATTGGCTGTATTTCATTGAATTACAGCCAATTTCAAAGTTTTGTCGAGTAAAAACTTAGGTTTCACCGAGTTTCACTTTTTCTTTTTCAAAACGGAGCGACAAGAAATATCGGAATGGCTGTATCTCACATAGACCAAGAACTTGTGAATTAAATTTCATATTAAGACTCCAGAAAAACTCATTTATTCAAGATAGATTTGTAGCATAGCAATGAGATATACAGTGCAGAAATAGATTGTGATTGCTGCTAAACACCCATGGCAATAACCTCCTAACCATGGCCTGCTACCACAAAATGAATCAAGCAGGACAACACTAATGCAATGATGATGGGATAAGTGTTACGCTCCACTTCTGTGATTTTGGGGCTCTTTGCGTTGTACAGATGCAATTGCAGCATCTCTAATCTCCCTGACCTGGCGATTAGATCTCATGCGTCCCCCACGCAATCCTGCATTATGCACGCGGATAATCATAAGTGGACGTCTGAACCGACTTGCCACAAATTCTTAGCACATTCCAAGCTGGCAGGGCTGTGTTTTGTAAACCACACTGCAGGACTGTCAGAGTGCAATGTGTGAAACAAATCGGAATGATGTTGTAAGCTATAGAACAAAAGGCAACTTGCAGTAGGATCTATGTCAACAGACTTCAAGGTGATGATAACCGCAGGCGGATCACGGGGTTGTTGCCTGCAATAATGAATTTCTTTACGATTGTTCCAAAAGCTTTGATTGCAACTTTGTTGACGGTTTCAACCACTTCAATGTCTTTCAAGTGCGTCATGGCAGCTGGATGGATACTGGTGGTTTTGTTTAGGTGTTAGCCCATGGATCATTGGTAGCTAACAACTTGAAACTCATGGAATAAAAGTCGCCACTCTTGAGGTCAATGCTGTTGGACTTTATGGTGATGAGCTTGATTGGAGTTGAGAGAACGGCACCTCTGCTCAACCCAGTGGTTTTAATAGCCCCGTGATACACATCAAACCCCTTGTCCGTGATCTTTTGTTTGTAGATCTAAATGATGAGACATTCATTAAGCAAAGGATCGCAGATTCTAATGTATGCAGGATGGATGACAATTACCCTTGGACCAGCTCTACCAATGAATTGGAACTCAATAGGATGGTGGAGATTGTTGGGTTTTTCCATTGACATGATGAATTTGATGGAATCTGGAGTCTATAATATTATTAGGTGGGCGGCCCGCCGCCCCATAGGCACCAATGGTATGTCTCAGTATCAGTATTTCTACGCGCATAGACCAGTTGTGGGCTGATGACACTAACTGGAGTCAACACTGAACAGGGTACGCGCGTACACATAGTTGCAGACAGATTCAGTGACGGTAGCCACAATGATTGATTACACCAGAGCTAGTGAGACCTAAACCTGGTTTTTGAGTAGACGCAAACATACATAGATATGAGATAGAAGGTAACACATGAAAGCTCTGTATGCAGTTCAGATGAGCACATTGAAGTCAAAAGTGATATAACCACTATCAATTCCCGGCCACAGATGCGCTGGTCAGATATATAGTGAATAGTAAGTACAATTGAGATTGAAGATTGAAGATTGAAAGTGTTAGTGTTAGTGAAGTGAAGTGATTGGATTTGTAGTTTCAGATTTTCAAATCAAAGGGAATTTGAATCAAGCATTAATTCAAGTCAAGATTTAAACACCTAATCTTGGATAAAAATTCAAAAAATAAGAGATAAAATAAATACAAAATACTTAATTATTAAGCTTATCATCTACCTTAACTATCATCTTAATCAATCATCATCTTATCAACCAATCATCTTCAATTCAACTTCAATATTTACTCTTGACCAATCCATTCAAATAAATATGCACAAAATTGCAAAAAAACATCATAAGATTCATTTAGATGCAAAGATCAATCATTGAGGCTGTGATGAAAATCACTAATGTCTTAAATTCTCACCAAAATTGTGTCATCTATTTGGTGTTATAAGCTTAAGAAGAACCTATGAATTCTTGACAGAGTCAATCTTCAATCACATCCAAAGATCCAAATGATAGTTGAAATCATAAGAATGAAAATCATCATAAAACACTCTGATTCTCCCTTTGAGCATTTCCTAAAGATCCCACCTAACTTATGAAGTTTACCAAAAGCAACTCAAACCATTAACAAAAATCAAGTATGCAGTTGAATGTACATAGTCATGAAAAAAGATTGAGATTGAGAATGATAGTATTATTCAAGACAGAAAGATTAAAATCAGATCAATCTCAATAACAACAATGTTGTCTGAAGATGCGCACGCGCGAAAATCAAAGATAAGGCAGAGACCATTCTAATGAGTCAATATTATAAGTAGAAAAAAAGAGAGACTACCTACATTGAGGTCACAAACCAAGCCATTTCAACTTCGGCTTGCAAGTGTATTTATTTTCCATGTACTGTACCAGTCATCATAGCCTCCACAACTGTAGCATCCAATCAATCGACACCTTTATCAGAAATGGTAGGGCTTGGAGCGGATGTAGATGAATGATCTGAATGAGATATCGTTTAAGATTGAGGTTCTTCAGTGATCATATGAGAAGTAGTAGAGCCAAAGATCAAATTAGGATTAGTGATTTGAATATCAATTGATCTTCCATTGATTAACAAAGTATGATTTTGATGATTTTGAAAGTTTAAATCAGATGATTTAAGTTGAGTTGAAGAAGAAGGATTAGGAGAACTTTCATGTCGACGTAAAAGGATAATAGGAGTTGTTGTTGTTTTGATCAAAGGTTTTGATTCTGAATGAATTGGCAAAGAAGATTGATTAGATTTAGATTGAGTTGACGATTGAGATGATGAATCGATTGATATCGTTTGATCTTGATTTTGATTTGATTCCATGTTTTTTTGAATAAAAGGCCGAAGTGATCAATGATATATGTATATGAATTGTTATTTGGGGATGTTGTTGTTGATGCAGAACGGGCGCGAGTTGGTGAGTGCCAAACCTCAGAGATTGTGAAAGGAGATCTTCATAGTTGATGAGATGGTGCCATGAATGTTGTAATCGGCATGGAGCATGGCGATGTGAGCGAATCAGTCACAAAATATTGCTCGACGGAGATAACTCGAAAGATTTGCCATACACCGTGATACGACGCAATTTGTAGTTGGGGTCTTCTCATGCGGTGAGACGGGTGCTGCTGTGTGGTAGATTTGAATACAATGGTCACCCTGTAGAGGTGGTGATTGCTGAGATAGGCACATCGGAAACTCATGAGTGAAACATTGTAGGTCAAAGATCACGCAATACGTGGTTACATACCTCCAAGGTGGGAAGATCAAGGAGACACATTTGGCGAACGGTGAGGATCAATGATGGCGCAATACGCGGTGGACTGGATGGTTAGAGGATCGAGTTGTTCATCAATAGGTGCTTGTGAACAGATTGAGCGCAGGATTTTCAAAATGGAAGAGTTTCACACATAGGGATGGTGGTGAAATCTGATTTGAGCTGTGTAACAAAAGAAGTATTGTGACGTGGGATGTAGAGAAGTCCGAGAGGAGAGATAACCACACTTGTAGGACTCAAAACACAGGTACCACTGCGATAACATATTGGCATGAAACATAACTCCACTGTCTCAGGTAACAAAAGTGGAGGCATCTTTTTTTCAAAAACATCAATTTCCTATTCTATGTTTGATTTATGTTTCGCATCTCTCAGAATGATATCCCTCGTTCGCTCGTGGACAGATTGTTTTGTTGAGAGCCAATAACATTACTCGACTTGGTTACCTCGATGTAACAGGTTTATCTCGGATAATGTATACTATATGATACTCTTGAGCCATTGTCACAGGTTTCATAGCCTTTCTAGCAGTGAAGGCGAAGTCGACCTGTCAACTAATTCCTAAGGATACATCAACCAAGCACCTTCGGCCCCGCCTTCAAGCACTTATAATCCTCAGTGTTAACGAGTTTCTCTACATCTCATACCTATCTGTTTATATTCTCTTCGGACAATTCGGCGCTCGCCCGTCTGACTTGCGACCTTCTATCATTATATTAATTTATCACCTATTTGTCTATCATTATATCTTTCTAACACTATATTTATCAGGACACTTATTTTTATTCCATCTTACTTCACGAGCATGAATACCAGCACATCTCATACTATCCTTTGCGGAGTTTACTTTCCTTGCCTTCTGATCTTCACCATAAGACTACTTTTGGTTTCAGGGGAATCTTTTCCCATTTACAGTTCTTCAGGGGGCATCAGTTCAGATGAAGATGACATTGAATTCGTCGTTAAGCAGGCCAACATTATGTTCCTTAAGTATCCCTTTTTAAATTCTGACGCTGCCGTCGAGGGCGCCGCAAGAAACGTGCTTGCTGTGAAGGCTCAAGCTCCCTCAAGTATTAGTCAGTCTTTCTTCGCCGAAAACTTGATGATGCGTTCCAGAATTAAAGTGAACTTCGTCTCTTCTTCTTGAAATACAGGCCTCAGCAATTATATGAATCTCCAGTACTACAGTGTTATTGAAGTTGGAGTTCCACCTCAAAAGTTCAATGTGCAGGTTGACACTGGATCAACTTCCCTTTGGGTAGCTTCCTTTGATCCGAGGGATAAGAGTAAAAGTAGATTGGGGTCGGATGAGATCGCTGGAGCACTATTCAACGTAGCTAAATCTTCTACCTTTGTTGCTACGAAGGCAATTTACAGCATGTTCTATGCGGATTCATCTTATGCCAATGGATACGTGGGTGCTGATACCGTCTCTCAAGGCTCGTTTAAAGTTGATGGCCAGAAGTTTGGAGTAGTAACTGCCACCTCTACAGGAATGTACATATCAGATGCCTCAGGTGAGTGAAATAGATACTCTCAAAGGAATAGATGAAGCAAAAACTGAGAAGTGGTTCGTCTTTTAATAGGTGTGCTTGGGATGGGATTCGCATCCGCAGAGCCAGAGCGACCTGCACCGTTTTGGCAGACCGCAAATGTTGAATCCTTTGCCATCGGAATGTCTGGTTTCACCAAAGACTCGTCAAGATCTTCCTCGGCGCTTCACCCAGGCGGGATACTCACCCTTGGCGGTGTAGAATCAAAATTGTATGATGGGGACATCAATTACGTCCCCCTTACAAATACCTCGCTTTGGCAAGTCAGCGTCGACGGCGTCAGTGTGGGTGGGCAGATGATCTCAAATACAGACAGCAACCGAGTTTTGATCGATTCGGGTACAAGTTTGATCGGTGTCCCAAGCGAAGTCGCCAAAAGTGTTTACAGCCAAATCCCCAACTCCACACCTGGCACTGGAAACTACAAAGGTACGTCAGACATGTTCTTCATAATCAGCTGGGGTGTCTTGGGAGATGAACAAGAATCGAAATAGGAAACTAGACCTGACGTTTGTTTGGTTTACTTTATCCACCACTCCTCGGCTTTCTTGACAATGATAGGATATTACTCCTACCCGTGCGACGCATCTCCTGATTTTGCTATGATCTTTGGTGGAATCACCTACCCGGTTTCCGCTGAAAGCTTCAATATTCAACCCGTCAAGGGAAATCCTAGCCAATGTTATGGTGCAGTTTTCTCCACGGGCGCTGTTAGTGCTGCTGCAGGAGAAAGTATGTGGATTGTGGGAGCATCCTTTATGAGGAACGTTTACACAGTCTTCAGAGCAAATCCAACACCAGCGATCGGTTTCGCAAGGCCAGCCGAAGATTTTCAAGCCAAGCTGGGGTCCATGAAGTGGGCGGCAAATTCTGCCAAAAACTCGGCTGCAACAAGTATCCGAAATCCGTTTGCGCCTTTGAAGGGGCTCAATTTTGGTTGCTCTTTATTGTCCAGTGGATTGGTATTCTGGGCATCTCAAATTTTGTTGGGATAAGGGAAATTATCCTCCATCACATGCATCCATACGTTCACACCATGTAAATATCCTTGTAGCACGTCGACGTGCACACACAAAAGAATTTCCGTAGACCCTGTAACAACGCATCAAAGAGGTGCCACAACAAGCATATCTTCCCCTTATCACCTGGGAGGTTGAAAGTCAGTTGACCCCTTCTGACAACAAAGGATTCTGAAAATCCTTTAATCAAATCACAAAGCACACAGGGCACTAAACAACAATCTCAGTCTAAATCCAACTAAAAGACTTTGATATTTGTTTCAAAACTCTCCGTGTGTGCACGACAACGTGCTCCACGGGTATTTACATGGTGTCAGTCATAAAGTGGACCAGACATCAAATATGCATTGCTCAAGACCTGCATAAATTCCTATGATGTTATGACAATGCATGTTCTCTTGCCACAACTTTGCTACTTGTTGCATGTCTCCGCATGAAAGATGAAAACAGTGGAGACTGGGTCATCCAATCTGTGTGAAACAAAATTATTCAACAAAGTTGGGACTGATCAAAGCCTTATCAATGACGCGGCTTGTTGACCGCGCAGTATGTGACTCTGCTGTCCGCGTGGCAGGCATATAGATGAGTATCTTGATGGCTTTATGTCAGAACTTCACATAACAGGCACCAAGTAGAGTTGATTGCAGAAAGCTTGCAATCAAGGCATTCTGAAAATCCAGATGTGGTTGTGTGCCACCTGTGACAGGTATTCAGCTTACCTCCCAGTTCAAGCAACATACAAGGATAAATTTCTTTAACCAATTCTCTGCTTTTGTTACTTGGTGCCGTAAGCTAGTGGTACACCACAAACCCCCCAAGGCGGGTTTTCAACCGAGGGTCCAATCGGTTGATCCGCTGAATTTCTCTGGTGGTGACCCACGCTTTTAAAACCGCTGGTATCCAAGCCGCTTTGAAGCTGTGGAGTAAGGTGGTGGACTTGGTATGGCTCTCCATCCATTTCTCAGCCGTGGTTCACATATCCCGATTTTAAACCATGGTATCAAACAAATGATAAACGGGTGCAGATCCAAGCATACTGCTGCTCTTGCACTCCTATAAAAATAGTAGGCTCATTGTGATTTTGTGCCAGCACACAATTCTTAGTCTTAAATTCCACATTAACAATACAAAATGACACATAACATACAAAGGAAAATTAGAGATGAGAGAAAAATCTAATTCATTATCTAAGCTACAATAATGTTGTGCAGATCCAGATTACCACATCATTATTCCTCTTCTTCCTCCTCTTCTTCCTCCTCTTCTTCCTCCTCTTCTTCTTCTTCTTCTTCTTCTTCTTCTTCTTCTTCTCCGCCTTCCTGTACAAACAACTCGTGTTCAACTTCATTTTCAGCAACATCGTCTCCAAACAGCTCTGTCAAATTCTGTACACGAGCGAGGATGCGTTTGTCTGAGGGCATATTAAATTTATTTTTTATTTTGTTTGATTTGATTTGTGTGAAATTTTGCTTCCCGTTGAAAAACTCGTGATTGTCATGCAATACGCACAAATAGAAACTGAAATAAATAAAATGGGTCCTTTCAGTGTATGATCTCACTCTCAGAGAGAAATAGTGGGACAGACGCATAACGGTATCGAAGAGGTTTTCGGCGTAAGTGTTCCAGCTTCTGGTCAACCACATTCCAGAACGTTTTCTTTGGATAATCCGCACTGTATAAGCCCCAGTGGACCGCTTGTAGCCTCTGTGTTGATGATAGAATTCAACCATTAATGCTGATGTCTCAATGTGTAATTCAGGTGCAATAGAAAAGTGAACTTACCAGCCAGGCAAACCGCGCTTCTTGCAAATGATTCACTTCTGCAAGAATCTCCTCGCGTCATCAAGCGATTGTTGTTAGAAGAATTTGCTATATCGCGCCCTGGACTGAGATGGTTTGAATGTACCGATGAATGCCTTGTATTCCCATTGAAAGATTCGAAGTTTTCTGTAGCAAAAAGGCAAGCTGGACCAAACCTGTCAATAGAATCGCATAAATGAATGAGCATATGGAATTTTGGTTTATTGCACCATTGAGCCGACATTTGAACTATTGCTTTGAGAAGATGTTGAATGCGAATGGAAAGTTCATGGCGATAAGTATCAATATCAGATATTTTGGTTTGGAATAGATATGGTGCAAGATTGGAGAGCGCCTGCCAAGTTTCGCGCTCTTCTGGTGTCAAATTACATTCAAAAAAAATGAATGGTGCTGCTTGAAGGACAGCCCGGAACTCTTTACCATTGAGACTTTGAAAATGTTGGATCATGGTTTTAGGCTGAATAGGTGGAATGTTTAGACCCGACGTGTTGAATGATCTCCACCAGGCTCGTATGCTGTTCTTTTCGCTTGCTGTGCATTTCTTCATTTGATGACGTAACATATACTTGCCAGAACCTAAAAGTACCACATGTAAAATCTCTACAGGAGTATCCCGATGGCCATCAAAGCCTGGTTGAGGCGCATCCAAAAAAAGCCAGTCAATTTTCTATAATTTCCATACAGACCATGAACCGACTGAACAGAAAATACATACCCTCAAGACGGAGAAATGGGTTGAAGATATGCTCGCCAAAATTGTTATTCAATTCTTGGCAGAGACCGGCAACATCGTCGTTGGAGAGTGTTTTATCTCGATGGAAGTTTTGAATTATCCTTACAAACTCCATATTCAGTGTATCTCTTATTCCCAGAGTTGAAGATTGACTGTCGAAGAGCGCAATTGTTGCTGGACGCTGCGCAAGCTGCCAAAGATCTTTCGTACCCTTGATTGTAGCGCGCCAGTCTCGTATTGGCAGGGATAACTACATTGATTACAAAAATGGGTGTCAGTTTTCATTGAAGGGACATAAAGATAGATAAATGAGAGAAAATAAACTTACTGGCCTTCCGCTTTCGTCGACTCCGAGAAAGTTGGACACATATGTGGTGGTTTTTTTTGCGGCTAGTGAATCAACCTGTAAATGGCAGATTCTGCAAGGCGTTAGTGAGCTTGAGGGATTCATAGTATTGCTAACTTCAGCATGCATTGGCGAGTCGCCTAAATGCATTAGAACCATCGTCATCACAAAAACTTCGGCTTTAATCTTGCAATCATACGCAACAAAGCCTTCAGTAGATAGACCACTTTTTGGAATCAAAGTTAAGATCAAATTCAACTAGTAATCTAACTGATGGCCAGAATCATTCCAGAAGACTTACTTGATACTTTCAATCACCGGATCAGCCAGTTCCAGCGCTCCTGCCGTATTCGAAGTGGTCAAAAAGTGACAATTATACTCCTGGTTTGCCAGCTTTGCAGGCAAACCAGCCAAAGTAAAATAAAATGCAATATGTTTATTCCATCGTTTTGAAACGTTCCCTGATAGATCATCACAGTATAGAACCAGAGGTATATGGCGAATGATGCGGCCACCAGCTTTCGTACGCCAAGGATTTGTGAATGGTACTTTGGTGAAGGCTCCTACAGAGCGCTCTGAAATCGGAAGAAGATCAGAATTTGGTGGGTGGCATGCAAAACAATGGGATCACAAAAGCTCACCGTACATAAATTCGCCACAGCGGTCCTTGAGGAGCTTACCTGGACGTAATTCCACTTTATCAAACGATCTCCAAAAGCTATTCACGTTTATTGAGGATAATTCATCGGAGTCGAACTTTGAAACTGACGGAAATTCTATTCGGATCGTCGAATTATTGTTGAGTTGTTGGTTTGTTGGCACACACTTTGCCAATGTATTGGATCCCGAACGGTAGAAATAGACTGGAACTACGAGTTGTTTTGATTGTAGTTGCACAGGCTCAAATAGATAAAAATGTCCTTGGGGCCGCTCGACCATCTGCACACACAATTTGCATTCAAGTTCCTCACGCCATTTCTTGGATTGTATCAATGAGTTGACTTTAGAAGTCGAGTTTGGCTGGACCGGGATGAAGTCAAGATATTCTCTAACATAAGGATTACTGAGTTCCTATAATGCCACTTATCAATAATCATGAAACTGCTGTAGTCCCGAAAACATCTGCTTACCTGCTTCAATATCTGCTTGACCTGCAGCCCAAAACACGGCTTTTCAAGAGCGCTGGTAGTCTGCGACACGGTGAAATCATATCTCATCTTGAGCTTTCGGCGAGCCTCTTGCAGACTTTTGTATCCTGGGAGCTTAATGTTGAGCAAACCAACAAATGACCGTACACGTTCGTATTGCAATAATGACATTGTAGTCCTTCCTGAGCCTAATGTCAGCAGACCCACAAATTGCTAATGAGAGAGACAGATGTTGCTCATTAAGACAAAGATCTAATAAGATAAAGCCATAATACTTGCCTCCAAACTTGAAAAAGGAGCCCAAGAAGGGTCATTCCCATCTATATCAGCGCCGTCACGTTCGTTTGGGTCATCAGAGATATGTGATTGACCATCATCTTGCTCATCGGGTTCACTAATCCTGGTTTTGTTGTCGTTGTTGTCGTACTCGTCATCGTCTTGGCTGTCAACACTGAGAGCGGGTGATTTGAAAATTGAAGTATGATCTCGAGCGTAAAGATCCAGCAGTGTCTTTCTTCTATCTTCAGCTTCAAAGTCATCTTCGTCAAGATCAACAGGAGACAAGTAAATTTCCTGATCACCGGGATCACTATCAGGATCTGATTCAGACTGGAACATGACATTTCCATTTGAGATGATTTCGCTTCCATCGTTTGTGTTCTGATTGTGTTTTTGATCGCTGTGGCGAATGAGCCACTTTTCAAAGTTTTGAATGTGATTTTGTGATGCACAATGTTTCCTAAGCGAATCGGGTTTCAATGGACGGCTGTCACAAGCAGCACAGAAAAAACGAGCGCTGTCTGGCCCTTCAGGCGTCTCAATAAAGCCTTGCGAATAAGAAAGGTGTGGTGTCAGATGCGCAATATCGGATAAACTTGTAGGAAATTAGTGTTACATTTCTCTAGCGCATCGGTTTTAGCCATGGTTC